TCCATACATTTTTACTATTATTATGTAGCACTTAGGTTTTTTCTTTTTTTTTCCTTTTCTGGACGATATTGTTTCAAGTACATCCATGCAAAGAACACGATGGGACTTCACAATGAAAGATTTTAATTGGGAATCAAATCTTGACTGTCTAGCCAAAACTAGATCACCCTTTCACACACACACTGAGCAAAACAAAAAATATAGAAATATTTCATAAATGTTTATTTTAAAAAATTCGATTTTAAAATTTTTAAATTAAATTTTCAAATTATAACCTTTTTTAATTTTTTTCAAAACAAAACTATGTCACCTTATAAATATTATTATTTATCTATCTATCTGTCTTACGTGAAATATTTATGTTATGTACTTTGATCATGTGTTATATATGCTTTTGGTACAAAAAAAATTGTAGTATGAAAATATTTTTAAATATTATAAATACTGAAACTGAAAATTTTTGATCTGTTAATTATTATTTTTATCAAAATGACTATATAAAACCAACTGGATTAAGTACACAAATTAAATTATATATTTCGGCATTGTACTATTGTTAGATAAGTCTTTAATTTTATAAGGTCTTGTTATATAATTAGCCATCATGTTAATTGTTATTTGTCTTTCTAATAATTTCCCAAAACAAAAGTAGCAACAAAATTAAATTAAGAAACCAACTTTGTTCCAATGAGCAAGTTGTTGAACCCCCCCTGCAGGTTGTCTATATTTATATTTTTGCTTTAAATGACAATACTATTCAAGCAACATTTGGTCACCTTAATTTATTTCTTTTTGCAATTGAAGATTATATATTTCCATCCTAGAGATTCTGGATATTCACTGTTTATCTATTTGAAAAATCCATTTTCTGATTATGATAAAATCACTCGACAATGTTTCAAGTTTGAAGAGACAATATATTGGTGCATGAGGAAATCTAGAACAAAGTTTCAAGGTTTTGTTTCGGGTATATGAAGGCATGACAAAGACCTTAAACCTTATTAAATTCGATGACAAAATTCATAAGACAACCTAAGTACGCATACCTTAACAATTGCCCTAAAGAACTTAAAATTTGCACCTTCATTTGCTTTCAAAAGCAGTGACCTATGAGAGAAATCATTAACAAATCAACTTAAATTTACCATAAACAGATGATTCTTTCTGTTCCCACACCTTTTTTTCTTTCTATAAAAGCACAAGTAAAAAAAATTTACTAAGGCTAAAATTCTCTTACAAACATAAAATTTTATCAATAGTTACGTGATCAATGAATAAAATATTAGATTTTTAATTTTAATATTTATAAATTATTTTTGAATAATTTCAAATATTAAAAAAAATTGAACACTTGCCATTGCCGACATTTGGGAAGAACCAGCATTACATTTTTAAGGATATTTGATCCAATTTTTTCATGTTCTTCTCTGATTTAGTGAGAGAAATACTGTCAAAAAAATCCTTAAAAGGGATGTATAGTCGGTCCAATAATCCAATAAAGTTAGTTCTAACAAAAACAACTGATTAAAAGTAATTAAAGCCAGATTTTCGACAATGACTTTACCACTATCCTTTCTTCACTGACATGACAGTTGACAACTGGATTTTGAACTTTCGTAATTTAGAGGGGTAGTCTTAGGTTTTTGTATTTTAATCAAAGGAAAAAATCAAACTAAAATTAATTAAAAGTACAACAATACCCTCATAGTTTGGGAGATTAAAAAAAATCCACTTTTGTTGTACGTTCATGAGCTGTGTTATAACAAGACAAAAACTCCTGATGCTGAAAGCATGGGGCGGCTATGGTAAAGGATAAGAACAAATTCAGAGGACAGGCCACGTCGTCGTTCAGTTCCCATCAGTCTCACCATCATCCTTCCTCATCATCATCATGCATGCATGTATGATATACCTATATCATATCCATGCATGCCAATGCCATGAATGCATGATCTGGCAGCAGCCATTGCGTATGCATTCAGACAAGTAAAGCAGTTAGTAAACAAAACAATGAGTACAGGCAGACACTGGATTGAACTCCAATTTGACTCAGCTGAAATCTCCGATTCCTGATGGTCACTTCCAGGATTGATTAGTTAATGGCTTTTTACGAAGAAAAAGGTCCCCCACTTCGGAATCTCAAAAAAATCACACAAATTTTGTTTACAATATATACATATAAGTATACATAATATATACGTATTTAAGAAAGTTAAAAAAATAGATAAAAATTTTAAAATTTAATTTTTATATAATTTGTTGGTGTCGTGCTTCAAATTAAAGGTTAAAATTTTGAAATTATGATGAAAAAAAAAAGCAATTAAAGATAAAAGTAAAAAATGCTCTCTATATTTTATATTTTGTGCTAGGTAAAAAGTTAATTATTGAAAATAAAACAAAGTGAAAAATAAGAACAAAAAAAAAAAGATCATATAGATTGTATTGGATGACTTTATTTATAGACAAAATGTAAAAATTTATTAAATAAATAAAAACATAATTGAATTAAAATAATATTGTATATATCATATCGATGGATCTAAATATTAAAAATATTTATTATTATTTACTAATAATTTTTAAAGAAATAAATGACTAATTTACTTTTTGAATTCAAAAATACCTTTAATTTATTATTTTAAAAATAATATTTAATAAATTAAAATTTTAATATTTATATTTTAATGATGGAATATAGATAAGATTGAAAATAATCATTGAAAAACAAGCAATGGCGATAGGAATGGCTGATAAAAAGAAATAAAAGTGGGAAAATGAAATTACATTAAAATTTGATAGGAATGGTAGTGTTGATATGAGGTGGATTGGTCCCCAATATCGGATTAAATGCCAAATGTAAGGTAAGCAGGTAAGCTTTGGGACTCCTATGTATTACAACAAAACACATGTCATCAATAAAAATATTACCGTCTTAACTTGACAGATTGGTGAGGAAAGGGAAGTGAGTTGATTCACATTTTGGGTTTGGGGGTTGGGGGCTGAACTCAAAGCATAGAAGAGGATAAAAAGGAGCTCAAGCATGGTTGAGGATAAAAAGTAGAATTTGTGATATAAAATATTATACAATGTCATGATATAAATGTGACATAAAAACATATGATTTAAAATTTTACTAATAATTATATATAAATTAAATAAAATAAAAAAATATATTTTATATTTTTATATCTATATTAATTATAATATATAATTTTTATATAAATTATAATATTTTATATTATATAAATATATGAATCATCCAATTAATAAAACATCCATCAAAACTATAAGAAAAGCTATGGAGTATGGACACTTGCCCTTCAATTATATCTAAAAATAGAAAATCCTATCCTTCAACTAAATTTATGTAATAGAATTTTGTGTTTTCATGTTGAATAACTTGGGCATTGGGGTGGAAGTGGATGGAGGGGAAGGGATTTTTGTGTCATTTCAAAGGGTCAACACCTACCTCTCTTCTCTCTTTTTCCCTTCCTAAACCAAAAAGGTAGTTGTACTTTTCCTTATAGATGAAGATAATAAATAATAAATCATGAATAATGCTTCTTCAAAATATCTCAAAAAAGTTAATCCTCATCTTATTTTCAGCTTTTTTTTTTATTATTATTTTCATTAAGTGGTTTATAAATAAATCCCATTTGGCATTATATCATGGATCATAGGCAAATTGATGTGATTAAAAAGTAAGAAAACAGAAACTTACTATAAATTTTGCCACTTGACATTAATTGCAAATTTCCAATAATTATCTGTCCATTGGAAATTCTGTATATAAAAAAAATAATTATATGAATTAATTATTTTAAATTTATTTTTTTATATATATATTTTGTAGTGAAAAGAGTAACGTCTTGTTAAAGCATGAAAATTAGATAAGGCAAAGATAACAAGTGTAACCAAATCCATAGCCGAGCCAGGAAAAGTTGCAAATTGCAGTCTCAAGCAAATCAACTGGCTTTGAAAAGGTGAAAGAGAATGGAGTTTAACGTTTGCAAAGTTGTTGGAACATGTTGTTGAGCAAAAGCAACTAGCTGTTACTAAAAAAATAGTCCATGATTTAAGATTTGTGAGTCTCAGAATTTAAGGAAAACTCCAAGCTGAAGGTTGCCGCCATTGCTGACCAAAACTTTAAAGAAATTAATTACTTTGGGTTACGTCAGAAAATGGGGATTTCAGAGCTTTCCGTTACCTAGGAGTTTTCCCATTCTCATAATTTCATTCACATTTTTCTTTACCCACCATCACTTGTTTCCGGGAGACTAGGAGAATAGTTTTTGGTGCAAGGAAAAGCATGGGAAAATGGTTAGTTGAGTTCGATGTTGTTCCCATGACAGTTAAAGAACTTTTAGCCGTTGAGTGTGATGATGTTCCCATGACAGTTAAAGAAACGAATAAAAAATTACACAAAAAAAATTCCTCATTTTTATTTTTTTGAGAGAAGAGTAAATAAATAAAACTAAAGTTTAAACAAATATGATAAACGTAAATAGAAATGAAATTATCTAAAAAAGATCTTGAAAATTTATTTTTATTTTGTCAATAATTGTGTTGTCAGTTGATTGTTTTAATTCAAGTAATTAAAGTTGAATCTTTAACAATCTCAAATATAAAAAAAAATTTGCCAAAAGTAAATAGATGATTATAGAAGATGCAAGAAACGACCGTCAAAATTTATAACCATTGAATTCAATCCGTCATCTTAAATCGGCATTTTATTATTATCAATAGTTCTCCTCCCCTACCATTTCTTTTTTACTAATGAGCATTGTTGCTTTAACTTAAAAATCTCAATAGCTATGTTTGGGAAGAGGGAAAATCGAAAGAGGGAACGAAGGGTAGAGGAAGGGAGATAAAAGAGATGTTTCAAACATTTTCGAGAGATACGTGTAGCTCCATAAATTTAAAACAGAAAAGGAAATATAACTTCGACTCACCCTATTTTTCCCTTTATTTTCTAGGAATGGAAATAGCCAAAATATTTTTAAGAAAACCCTTAAATTTTACTGGTTTTCTTGGTAAGTCTTTGTGCTCTTACTTTAAAAAATAAACATAATGCCCCTCGTGTGAATCTAAATTTTTTTCATATCAATGAATTACAATTTCCTTGTTTTCCCATTAGTCTTTCATTTATATAAAAAAAATCCAGACAGTGGGCTAAGGCTCGAACTCAATGAAAGCACAAATCCTATGTGAAAAAACATGGAGCTGCTCAACTTATATCCCAATGGGCCAAAACCAAAAAGATGAAACCTAGTAAAACCAAATGAATCCATCAAAGAAAAAATGAGGAACAATGAAAGACGAAATGAAAAGAAAGCATAATATATCGGAGGCCAAAGATAAGAAGTGTAGTTCAGTAGTATGGAGCACACTTAAATCTGATTTAGGAATTTGTTCCCATCTGAAGATCACACAAGATTATCAGCAATAGTAGGACAAATATGAAAGTCACAATAAACTAAAATTTCCCTTGGGGGAGACAGGAAAAATCAGAGAAACAATTTTTTTTTAAAAGACTTTTCAACTGCGAGCTCAACCACCACGTACAAAGCTTGAGTCAGACTACAATGTCAGCAGCACCTCAACCAACCAAGCACAAAGAAGATGCCATGTCTTGACAGCATCATGAATTTGGCATGCTAGGTACGAGTTCTGCTGCTTTCAGCGTTTCTAATTGGGTAAAAATAAGGATGAGCCTGCATGACAATTAAATCATCCAATTAGGAAACATCCAGCTTTAGGGCACCTTTAAAAAGATAACACCATAGTACTAATTGTCTTCAGATGGGCACACACAAACAATTATATCTGAAAGTTGTGTCCAACAAATACAAGAGGTATTCTTCAAAAAGGTTCATAGAGATCAGGAGTTTACCATTGCTTCTTTTGCAGTTGGCCTTTCTTGATGGTCATATCTAAGCAACTTGTCAAGGAAGTCAACGGCCTTCAAAGAAAAACAAAAAGTATATGATAAAGATGGAATGCCAGAGAGAATGTTCAGAATTGTATTAGAAATTGCTAGTTATACTACCTCAGGTAATGCCAGATGTTGATTGTCAACATTAATGAACTTCGTCCAGGGTTTGCGACTATGCCTGTATCAAGGAAAAAAAAATATAATTCTCAACTGGAAATAACAGCACCTCTGCATCGTCAATCTGACTAAGGGATTTATATTTACCAACCTCCCAACAAGGGCTGCTAGATGTGGATCCAATTCTATGTGGTACTTATTCAGATAAGCATTTAATTCATCTGTCCCAAGAACCTAAAGCAGCAAAAGAGAAGGAAACTATTCAAGAACCATGGGGGTTATTTTTTATTTCCCAAATGAATTCAATTTAACAAATTGACAAAAGGACTCTCTAACTCTCCCTAGGTCTCAATGATGCATAACAGAAGTAAGGTATTTCTTCAAAAACAGCACCAATATTACAATAATGAAGAGGAAGACTTCACAATTTAAATACAGTTATGCCCCAAGTTCACATACCTTGGCTATCTTGACCAGTTGATCATAATTATCATGCCCATAGAAGAATGGCTCCTTTCGGAATATCTGTACAGAACAACCCTCAAAAATAAGCATCTCGAGAGAGAGAGCACCGAATACCTTGGCATTATATCAAATTTCAGTCCTCCTCTGCTATCTGCCACCTATGGATGAATATGCAAGCAGATTAAGATACACTCATCTAATGTTGATATTCTGCCATTGCCAATAACCATTTATTAAGGGTGGCTTTTGAGCCGAGACTTCATGATGATCAGGCTTTCCAAAAGACATGCCCAGGTCTACTTGCATAACACCACAAATGTACACGAGGAGAATTTGATATATGAACTGCCAGGGTAAGGACCATGAAAGCCTACCTCTTTAAGAGATATAAGCCTAGAAAGGTAAAATAATCTGAACGTAATACTCACCATTCCAGCAAACATACAACCAAGGCTCCACAAGTCTAAAGAGTAATCATAGTCTTGCAAATCGACAAGAAGCTCAGGACCTTTAAAATATCTGCAAACGGGAAATGAAGTGATAAAGAAAAACAAAAGGAATGCATCAACTAATGGAGGATGAATTTTTGATACTGAAAAACCTTAATTCTGAAAATGAACAAGTTGACAGATTTGCAGATATATAGTAATGAAAATTACAAGTGATATGCAAACAAATATGACATCCACTAATAAGTCCTCTTCTAATATGCAATAAAATCATTGAACTGACATTGTCAGAATTAAAATAAGAGGAAGTTATATAAAATATAATGCACTCTACGGCTCTTACAAGGAATTCCCATGCAACATCTCTCCCCCCCTGTTACATTGTAATAGCATAGAATTTTTTTCCCCAAACCAAGTCCAAGATGCACCTAGGAATACATGTCTAGGTGATTTCTTCTAGCCTCCATACCTTTTCAACTCTAAGTTTTAAAGTTTCAAGTTAAAGTACAAGCTACCATAACAAGCACTAAGCTTTATCCGCTTCTTTTATTATTGACCAGCATCATATCTCACGTAACCTTCGATTTACCAGCTGTATTAAATGAATTTAGACAACACTAAGAATTAGCAAGCCAAAAAGCCTTGTACCTTCCAAGCCAACTAGCTAAAGGAAGCAAAATTTTCCACAAATAATTTATGTTAGCACACCAATTACTTTAATTTATGTAAATCAACTTCCAATGCCATGCCATCTCCAGAAGTCAGCTATCCAGTTAAAAAATGCTATACAAAATAAATCGGTAATATGGATAATGCTATATTTAAGACAGATAAGTACTTTGGTGCAATCAAAAGGATGTAAAATAGAAAAGATAGTTAGAAAGGAGAAGAAAAAGAAATATTGCCACTTGTACAAATGAGAAATTTAAAGACAATGTCAAAAGGGAAACAAACCTCGAAGCAACACGAACATTGTATTCTTTCCCTGGATGATAGAACTCTGCAAGGCCCCAATCAATAAGACGAAGTTTCCGCTGTTCATGATCAATCATCACATTATGGGGCTTCACATCTCGATGCATAATACCTTGTGAGTGGCAATAATCCAATGCCTAAAAATAAAGACCCAAGATACTTAAATGATTGAACCATCTTTTTTCTTTCCAAAGAGAAGAAAACAAGATCAAAATTCACATTGTAAGCAGAGCTATCTTACAAACAAAATCTAAAAATACGAAATTTTTGTAATCCATGGCAAATAAACAAGCACAGACATCAGCTAAATTTCAAAATGTTGTGATAGCATCAATAAAGATTCTGCATACAATAAATTCATAGCAAAAAATAGCAATTGTCAACATTGAGTATAACAAGCACCTTATGCAATCTTTCAATCATGATGAGAAGAATAGCATCCAACAAAGAATTTTAGTAATTTAAGACATCAACCAGAACAAGAGATAGTTGAGGCCTTAAAATAATAATATGACAGCATCCCAAACATTGCAGATGTATATTCATAATTACTCATAGACACAAGCTATGTAAAATAAAAAGCACAACCAGGTCATCCAATTGCTTTTACTTACTTCCGATCTATGGCATGTATGCTCATATAAGATCCTTCAATCCAAAAATAAAGCAGACTAGTAGCAAACCGTGTAGGTATATTCTTAGACACTAGGAGAGTTCCCAACCTATCTATCACTCAGACACACTTCAATTTTTGTCATAGAAGCCAATAATAATCAGTTATCAAAATGGTATTCAACAAATTGCAACACATCTAGGTACATTCTAAGATTTTCTTAAAACTAGAGCCAATGATTAGCCCATGTCAATGTTATTGACAAAGCTAATAATCCAGATATAATTTCCTCAACATTTTCACCAGTCTTAATACCCTTCTAACCTTCTTGATTTACGCAAGTAAAACAATATTTAATGACCTGACAGAGAAAAATCATTACATATATATCTAGTTTAAAGTTTAACCAAAGGAAATACACTTTGCTTTCTTTGACCCAGAAGCCTGGCTCCAGAACCAAAGGAAACCATCTCTCACCCCCATCATGACCGCTTACATAATCGGTAATCACATAGGTTTGAACTCAAACTATCATTGCAACAAGAGCTTTGAGACAAATGGAAACATGCTTTTAGGCCTATGAATATGCCTCTCATGTCAATTTCAACTTCAGTGCCATTAAGCATATATGAATAAATAAAACAACAAGCAAATCATTTACTTGCCTTCAGAAGTTCGTAGATATAATATCGAATATCATAATCAGACAGCGTCGGATAAAGTATTTTAAAATCAGTATTATTCACATATTCAAATATAAGACTTGGAGTCTTGGATTGCTGATCCCTAACTATATCCAGCAACTTCACAATATTTGGCCCTCCACAAAGATTCTGCAGTATTTTAATCTCCCTCTTAATCTGCATTCAAGACAGTCATTTACATCAAACCAAGTTCCAGTTTACACACAAAAATATAAGATCAAGTGGAAGTACTACAATGACACCAGAACGAACCTTCTTCTTCTTGACCGGTTTGAGAATCTTGATTATGCATTTCTCGTTATCAGTACAATGAAACCCCTCGAAAACCTCACTGTATTTCCCTCTCCCAACTTTCCTCACCACCTCATAATTGTCCTGTTCCCTGCTAATAAAGCATTCAAATCAATCAATCAAAATTTTACTTTTTTTTCCCACTTTTATGATCTTTCAGCCAATCAATTAAGTTTAACCTAATTTTCCAGCCAATATAAAATAAAATCAAAATAAAAACCCTAAGATTCAAATTCGCAAGCACCAACCAGCAGAAAATAACTAAATTCAAACTATTAAAACAAAAAAAATACGAGTATGAATACGTATAAAAAATTAGTTCCGTAGATAGAGGGAGAATACGAAGAATAAATACCCCCATTGGACAGTGAGGGACTCGTAGTCCCAATATTCTTTAGGACGAATAACGTTGACATCGGCGTAAACCCTAGACTTAGAAGGAGCGCCAGGGCGCCTAATAGATTTTCCGATTTTTTGAGCCAGGGTTTCGTCTTGTTTTAGGTCCCTTAACCAAGGGCTTTTTTTCTGCTGCTGTTGTTGTTCTGGGAAGGGAAAGGACCAGGTTTTGGAGGCGATACCTCGGAGGAAGGAAAGGGGAGAGGAGCAGAAGGAGGAGGAGGAGGAGGAAGAGGAGGAGAAGAGAGAGAGGAATAGACGGCGGCGTTTGTGGTGAAGAGAGAGCGTTGTGAAATTAAAGGGCCTTATGGCCATCTACAGCTAGGCTTCACACAAAAAAAGGAGGGTAGGTTTTTACTTCCTAGCCGCTGCCCGGCCCGCAAACATTTTTTCCCTTTTTTTTTAATTTACTTTTTCAAAAACAGAAACGACGCCGTTTATGAGATTAACAAAAACTGCAACGCTAAGTTGGCTGCTAAGTTTCCGGTTCTGAAAGTCTGGACCCTGGACTACAAAACTTGGATGGACCAATCGTGTAATTGAAGCTCAGCCCATCAGCCAATGGATTGAGTTTATATCCATAGATTTGCGGTCTTGACACTATTTTAGTTAAAATTTTTATTTCTTTGCAGTTGAAGCAGGGGCCAATCATGTGATCCTAGTCTTATGCACTTCTGCAGTTTTTTTTTGTACTGTTTTATCCTTTTGGTAATTATGGGACTTTTTCTTTTTTTCTCTTTTCCCCATTTACAGGTTCTGAGTGTGGAGTTATATCTTTGGCTCTGGTCTGTTGGTATCCGTTGCCCATCTCTCCAGCATCATCGAACACTGTCAATATGTTACTGCGTAGACCTTAGTCCTAGCAGCTCTCCTTGTAAGTGCATCTGTTCACCAAGACATAACTAGCATTTCCATGTGTGTGTGTACGTTTGTATTTTGATGGCTCTTTTGCCAGTCCTTGAATAATTGGTCCGCTTCTTTGAAAGGGGTCAAGTACTCAAGTGCCAACTATCATTTTTCATTTTATTGTTGGCCGGAAGAAGAATGTAGAAGTTCCTATAACATACGCATAAGGCCCGAAGTTGGAGTTTATTCTGTCACATTACTGTTCTTCCATCCATAATTGTTTTTATATGCATAAAAGCCCCACTAGGCATAGAAATGTAACCCGACATTGGAGTTCTTGCTTTAGCTCCATGGACTTAAGTTACATCAAGGCAGCTGGATTCTTTGTTGTGGGAAGATTTCCATCATAAGTGCATCTTAACACATCTGGTTTTCTCACTAGCCGAGGCCCTACTGGCACCTTTCCAGTTTTTGGACGAATGTCCTGCACATATGCTACTGTCATTAAAACTTTATATCATGCAATTTCTATTTGAGTTTTCACATACCAGGATTACATGCTTATACATTTACTATTGCCAAAAAGGAAAAAAGAACGCGGATACTCACTGGAAAAGAAAGTTCAGAATTAGTTCTTGCAGGGAAAAGTTCATAGAAGGAAAACCCAAAAAAGGCAAAACTGGCCTGATGTAATAAGTAGGTTAATTTTCTGGAGAAACGATACCTGGTCAAAGATAGCAGTTGGAATTGCAAGAGTTGCAAGGGCATTTGGTGAGTCCACAATTCCAGATATCCTTCCTTCACATGGGCAGCAGGATAGCAGAAGGTAAATCTGATGATCACCATTGTTTCTTGTAGATCAGTATGACTTAACTATAGGTGATTTCTTTTTGTGTACTTGAGTTTTTTAAGGTTCAATATTGAGGGAACAGACCTGTTCTTTGGAGTAGCCAAACTTAGAGAGGTAGTCAATAGCATTGAGTACTGCACGTTTATATGCAACACTGGCATCAAGGAAATGTTGCCTTCCGCTCTCATCCACGCTTATTCCCTCAAAAACCAACCATTCTGAGAATCTGGGTTCAACCGGGCCAATCTCGAAGATTGGGTTTACATGAAGCGGTGTTGGCCCCATTGGAGTTAGGTACCGTTTCATTCCACCTCTTATGATTTCACACCTATTAACCAGATACCAAATAGGCAAACAATTGAATACATGCCAAAGTCTGATAATTCTGTAGGTGAGATTTTCTATAACTTGAAATGGCGATTCCTATCATAAATATAGTGTATGTGAAAGTACAAGGCCTGATACTCACTTGAGCTCTAGAAAACCACTCATCTCAATTGCTCCGCAGAAGGAAACTTCACCATCACCTTGAGAAAAATGCATATCACCGGTGCTAAGATTTGCTCCTTCTACAAACACAGGAAGATATGTCTTCGAACCTCTACTAAGATTTTTGATGTCACAATTTCCTCCATTTTCTCTTCCTGGAATAGTCCTTGCCGCCTCCTTAGCAATCTTTTCCCATTCAGCAGTCCCCTTTTTTATCTACACATGGCGGTTCCGTTCCATGTTAGTTTATAAATAATTATATTGTGGTCTACTAATTTTGGTTAAATCTCAAACTCATCTGCAGCGTTCAAGACATTAACGTAGTGATAAAGGAAGTTGATATAAACTACCTTCCCTAAATGGCAGCCTTTGGTTGATGGAAGGTTTGCCAATGGTCGTGAATGCAAAACTTCACATAGCTTTAGGGACTTATGGCCATTTTCTTCTACTTCTCTTTCCCTTTCATTCCAAATATTCAGAAGTTCCATTGATGGTGCAGTCCCAATTATTCCAGGATGAGTCAAACCAGGAAATCTCACCCCTGCTATGCATATAAAACTTTGTAAGGGGACTCAGCTGAATCATTTCCAAACTTTAGGCATGATCATAGGAACACAAGGTAAGTGTTTAAGAGCTTATAACTAGTTTTAACATAGGGAGTAGATGGCAAATTCACCTGGTATATGAGGAGAGTAGGCATAAATTCCTTCAAAGTACCAAATAGCTTTGGTTGCACATGGAAAATGGTCTGTCAAAAAACCACCTCCATTTTCTCTGTCAAACGTTGCTGTATAACCCCATTCATCCCCCGGAAGAGGACCCAGGTTACAAATTTCCACTGCTAGAAGATCACCTGGCTTGGCAGGTATGCCTTCCTTGTCTAGAACTCTTATCGGCCCACTGAGATAATGGACCTGAGTCATTATGTAATCTTTAAGTATAACAAACAAGTTTCAAAGACGATTCTGTTAAAGTAAATTATCTGACAGAAACGATCTATTGATCTTATATTTTCCTTTGCTATACGTGTTCTCTCGCTACTTTTAACAGAAGAGTTTTATGCACTTACTGTGGACAGGTCTATAAATTTTACATCAGTTGCAGAATCATCATCTTTTATAACACCACCAGTCCAGTCTACCATCTCTACTCTAAAGATCTCACCGACTTTAACATCGGCAACTGAGGGTATTTCAGGGTGCCAACGGTTGGGAAGAGGTAGATCTTGTTCCCATGGCTTCTTCTTCAAGTCTATCGGCACCACTAGCCTTGGAGTTGGAGGAGCCATGGATTAAGCGGTGGGAAAAACTGGGAGATAGTGGAGATATTTGTTGCAACTTGTTAATCTAGCCAAATGTCACCCAATGAAGGAAGTTTGACTCTTCAACAATACTAATTGCTGACAAATGGGGCGTAAGCGTGACCATTTTTCCAATGGTCCCATTTTGATTTTACTGAAGGACAGAGATACAAACGTTCACTTGCTAAGCAACAGGGTTTCAATTTTTTTTCTTAAAGAACAAAATAATTGCAGATAAAATTGTTAATTGAAAACAATGAAAATTGTAAAGAAATTACATAGGCAAAGTTCTATGCTCTAGCAGCAAAATTTTGTGCCTGACGTTAGATATGGAGCTACTTTTATTTTTAATGGAGGTATTTGCTTTTAAGCACCAGCAGTAGAAGTTGAAAAAAGGAAACTGGAAGACAGAAGATTGAACTAGAACTCACAATAGATTGATCAGCATGTTTGACATCCTCAGCAGAGCTGTCATTCTTAATTCCACCCCCACTAAAATCCACCATTTCAACTCTGAAAACCTCTCCATCCTTGACCTCTGCAACAGCTGGTATGTGGGGGTGCCACCGGTTGTGGAGGGGATGTTTCTGTTCCCATGGCTTTTTCTTCAGGTCTATAGGCACCACCACTTTTGCTCCATATTGAGTCATGGCTCAGTCTAGAATTGCCGCGTCAGGTTGGCTGTATGCAAGAAACAGTTCGGTACGATGATAATGAGAGACTCGTTACAGTTGCCAACATCCAGCAACCTTCATTTTTTAACAGCCATGGGTTGGGATTTTTTCTTTGATGGATGGACCACTTGGAAATGATTTGAGGCTTTGACTTTTGACACATTACCTTGGACGCTCTTCTAGGTCAAAAAAACAGTGATTAGAGGGTAACTACAATGATAAAATGTTGAATTCAATGCCTAAAGCATGTGCTTAGGAGATGATAAAATTGATCCACTCATTAAGGAATGATTCCCTGTACTTGATGGAACATTTTTCGCATTATGGAAGTGAATTTGAGAGGTATCTGACTCTGATTTGCTTAAACAAATCGTACATTCAATGTAACCATCCGTTAGCAAAAACTTTGAACCCAAAAAGATTACTTTAACCGAACAGTTGGATTGTTTCTTTCCATCATTTTGGGATGGAAACAAACTTTCAAAAGCTAATCCAAACCCTCTGACACGACCCCACAAATTTGGAATCTTTCAGCTTTTGTCTGCTCTTAAAGAGAGAAAACAACTTTCAATAAGACTAATCAAAATTATTTGACTTGATGGCAAATAATAAGCAATTTGTCACGATCTAGGGTCATCACTCCTAGCTATAGAAGCGTGTAGAAAATAATAAAGATGAGTAGATGCAAGATGGAATTGTTAGAAAAATAGGATCTAATTTTATGTAAGTGATTTTGAATCAAGTAAAAGTTATGTATTTTGATTTTTTATTTTACACAGATTTTTAATTATTTAATAAACAAGAGTTGAGATTATTTTAGATGTGTATCGAAAATCAAGTAAAAAAAAAAGAAAAGTCAAGAAAAGCTAGAGAGACAAGAGAAAGGAGAGTTGTTAACATAGTTGATTCATGGTCCGATTGATTGGAACGAGGAGGTTTATGATTCAGAGTTTACATTCTAAAGTGAAGACTGGTTTGAAGCTCTCTAGAAACAAATCCATAGTGTATTTGTTTAGTCACTTATTTGGTGAGATTTCTCCAATTGTTTCTCTAGTTGTTGATTAGCTCTAGTTTTAGTTAGAGAAGAACTTTGTATAACTATTATTTGATAGTGAAAATTTTTCTGGTGGCCCGTGATTTTTTCCCTCTACACTGGAGGGTTTTCCACGTAAATCTTGGTGTGTTTTATTTTTCTTACGTATTTGATTATTAATTGTTGTCTATTGCTTCTGTATTATTGTGATTATTGCTTCAGGCGCAACAAGTGGTATCAGAGTCAGCCCTAAACCGTTTGATCCACGCCAAGCACCTCAAGGGAGGCAGGCAGGGTAGTCAGCCTCCGTGACGAGGGGGTCACGAGGTTGGGTGCGGAAGAATATCACGGACCTAAGGAAGAGTCCTGAATCCCACATCGAACATAATAGGAGGGTCACTGGGGTATATAAGGGTTCACATCACCTCCGTCTTGTGAGGCACCTTTTGAAGGATAAAATCATGAGGTCAGGGGGGCCAGAGTGGATAATATCTCACAAAGGTGTGAACCGTGGTGGAAGGCTGATCTGAGACATAGGAAGGGTGAATGCCCGGGTCTCGGAGCGATGCGAGTTCGAAGCTTGAGTCTCGACCTGTGACAAGTGATATCAGAGCGAGGGTTATTTTGAGACATCGATACAGAAGCAACCCAGGATAGAAATAAATTCTGTTTGGGATCATAGAGGGTGATACAAGTTCCATGATAAAATTGACAGCATCAAATTATTCAATTTGGAAGCCTATGATGGAGGATCATCTATACTGTAAAGATTTGTATGAGCCAGTATTGGGTGATTCGACTAAATCAGTAGATATGAAAGATGAAAGCTAGAAGAAGCTAGGTAGAAAGACGCTGGCTATAATCAAAAAATTGGTTGATATTAACGTGTTTCATCATGTAGCGCAGGAGTCAGATGCTCACATTGTTTGAGAAAAATTGGTAGCATTGTATGAGAGAAAAATAGGTATGAATAAAATTATGCTTGTTAAAAAGCTTGTAACTTTACAGTACAAGGATGAACGATCTGTTACAGAGCACTTGAGTGATTTTCAAGATATATTTAATTGGATGACTACTATGAAGCTTAAAATGGATGATGAAATGAAGACATTATTTCTTTTGGGTTCATTGTCAGACAGTTGGAATACTCTAGTTGTGACTGTTCTTAATTCAGCTCTTGATTATAATGTGACATTAGAGATGATAAAAGACAGTATGCTTAATGAAAAAGTAAGGTAAAAAAATGTAGACCCTGGGAATCAAGTTCTGGTTACAGAGAACATGGGTAGAAACATCGACAGAAGTCAGGACTCAAAAGGTCGTGGTAAGTCTAAACATAGATCCAAGTCTAGAGGTAAAGTGAAGTGTTTTTATTGTGGTAAGGCAGGTCATATAAAATAAAACTGTAAAATCTTGAAGCAAGAGCGAAAAGATGAGAAAGGTAAGAGTTCAGATGATGACAATGTTGCAGCAATGAATTCAGATAGTGATTCAGTTACTTTGATTTGTACACATGGTGATTGTAATCATGTTAGTGATCCCGGTATTGAATGAATAGTTGACACAGGAGCGGCATATCATTGTGTTCCTAAGAGAGAGTTGTTTACAACTTACAAAGTAAGAGACTTTGGTTGTACCAAGATGAGAAACAAGAGTGTGTCACAGATTGTTGGGATTGATGATATTGTTGTACAAATTAGTACAGGCTGTATGTTGACTTTGAGGGATGTCAAACACATTTCAGATATGAAATGAACTTCTTTGCTATTAATGTCATTGATAAGGAGGGATATGAAAGTCGACAAAAGAATGGACAGTGGAAGCTTCTCAAAGGATCTATGGTAGTTGCAAGGGAAAAACTAAGTTGCACAATGTATAAGACATGAATGTAATTGAACGATAACCAGGTAAATACCGTTGAAAATGATGCTTCAGCAAACTTGTGGCATAGGAGGCTGGCACACATGAGTGAAAAAGGGTTACAGGTTTTGGTAAGACAGTCTCTCATTCCCTTGACCAAAGGTATGTCTCTCGATTCATGCGATTATTGTTTGTTTGGTAAGCATCATAGAGTTTTTTTCGTAAAAGTTCTCAGAGAAAAGAAAATAGATTGGAATTAATTTATTCTGATGTATGTGGTCTCATTGAGGTTGAGTCATTAGGTGGTAGCAGATATTTTGTTACTTTTGTTGATGATGCTTCACGTAAGACTTGGGTGTATATGTTGAAATACAAAAGTCAGGTACTACAGTATTTTTAAAAATTTTATGCCATGGTTGAAAGGATGACAGGGTTACCCTTGAAGTGTATTCAAACTGATAATGGTGAAGAATACACATCTAAAGGCTTTGAAGAGTATTGCTCAAAGCATGGGATCAGGCATGAGAGGATAGAACCTAAAACACCACAGCATAATGGTATAGCTGAAAGAATGAATCGCACCATTATGGAAAAAGTCAGATGTATGTTGAGGATGACAAAATTACCAAAGCCATTCTGGGGTGAAGCAGTCAACACAGCTTGTTATTTACTTAACAAGTCACCATCAGTTCCTTTGGGCTTTGACATTCCAGAAAGAGTGTGGACAGAAAAAGATACTTCATACTCTCATTTGAAAGTTTTTGGGTGTAAAGCATTCATGCATGTGTCGAAAGAGCAGAGATCAAAGCTTGACAGTAAAGCCACATAATGTGTATTTGTAGGATATGTGATGAAGAATTTGGTTACAGGGTATGGGATCCAGTAAAGAGAAAGACACTCAGAAGTAGAGATGTGGTCTTTCATGAAAAAAAATCATAGCAGACCTTGAAAAAAATGAGAAGACTACAAGAGTTACTGTTGAGTGATGTTTCAACACCGACATAGATTCCACAAGAAAGAGCCACAGATGGTGAAAATGAGCAAGAAATAGAACTTGGGGATATGAATAAGCCAGCCACAATTGGTGATGAGCCAGATGCTATTAGTTTTGAGCAGGAGGAGCAATCTTCTCTACCTGAGAGTGTTGAGCAGGGGGAGCTACCTTCGACATCAAGTGATGTAGAGTCTCAGCCCAAGAGATCTACTAGAGAGCACAGACCATCTACCAAGTATCCAAGTTCAGATTTTATTTTAGTTACCAGTGAAGGGGAGCCAAAAAGCTTTCAAGATGTGCAGGCTACTTCGGATAGAGAGCACTGGTTAAAAGTAATGAAAGAAGAGAAGAAGTCATTACGAAAGAATGGTACTTATGATCTTGTTAAACTTCCAATAGGGAAGAGGCCATTAAAGAATAAATGGGTGTTCAAGTTGAAAAAAGATGATGACAAACTAGTGAGGTACAAGCTCGATTGGTAGTAAAAGGTTTTTCTCAAAAACCAGACATCGATTTTGATGAGATTTTTGCTCCAGTTGTAAAAATGAGTTCTATTCGAGTGGTACTAGGATTGGCAGCTAGTTTGAATCTTGAACTTGAGTAACTTGATGTTAAAACTGCATTTTTACATGATGATTTACAGGAAGACATTTATATGAATCAGCCTGAGGGTTTTGAAGTGAAAGAGAAAGAGCATTTAGTTTGCAAATTGAAGAAAAGCTTGTATGGCTTGAAACAAGCTCCGCGACAGTGGTACAAGAAGTTTGATTTTTTTATGGTTAGTCATAGCTATAAAAGAACAGCAACGGATTCTTGTGTGTATGTTAAAC